CCTTGGTCTGTCACAATGAAGTCCTGTTAATGTGTTTAATCTGGCCATCTTGAGACTCAGCCCTTCAGAGAAAGTGATGAGCATATCTTAAAATAGAGTACTTAAAATTAATGATAGTACTCCTCCAATCTTTTATGAGGCAAAGTTCGAGTCACTTCCAACACACACACACACTCTTTCACACGTGCATGCACACACATACACACTCACACACATGCTTTTAAAAGAAAGAACATGCTCCTCCTAAGGAATACTCATAATTCCATTAGAATTATTAATCAAAGTTATTTAGTGTTGGGAAACTGTATGATTTTTTAAGTAAAGTAATATGATCTGTGTTTCTGTCTGAATTCCATACAGACAAGACAAAAAGGGGAAAAGTGTTTTAGCTTTCTATATCAAGCAATGTATTTAATTTATTCACGAGTCTAAAAACTACAAAAAAATCTGAAAATTTAAATAGTAAGATATTTCTTTGCATTACTATAGTGATGCAGTTGTGTACAATGAATCAAAATTCATTCTGCTGTCATCTATACCTAATTAAAATAAATAAATTAATAAATAATAATAATAAAAGATTTTTTTTGCGAACTCTTTGTATTTTATTCCTCTAAAGAAGGAGACCTTCTGAAATAAATTGAAGAATTGAATGGCTCCAATAACCTAGTGTTTTTTTCTGTTTTGTAGTAGATTTTTTACTGAATTTATAAAGATGTCTATCAAGGGCACGATTTCCACATTTAGCCTTTTAATTAGTGAAAAACATCCTGGCAAAATTTATATGCACCCATTTTTGTGAACTGAAAGGATTTGGAGTAAAAATTTGTTATATTTCAACTTTTTAAAAAAATTCATGTTCTAATTTATATTATTTATTCTCAAGGGGGTGTTAATAGACATTTATGCTCTTATGTAAATGAAGTAATATCAGTATTTAATTGTTATATGAGATCAGTGCTCCTTGCTTTATCTCTGAGTTAGGTCCTTCCTGAAGCATGTTGTTTAACTTTCTTCTTAACCATTTTATTCTGTGGTGTTAAATCTTAATGTTCCTTTTCCTCTCTCAGTGATCTTTAACACCTTATATTTCAGCTTAAAAGAAATTAGCATTAAGAAAGTTGCATTATTTTAAGAATGGGACAGCTTTAGATTTACTTTCTCTTATCTAAGGCATATGTAATTTTTCATATTGATAAATTGATATTCTTAAACTTACTAATGAACAGCAAAAAGCTTAGATAAAAATGACATGACAAAAAAGTATGGCATTCATTTTTTTCAAATCAAAGAAAATGAATGCAACATAAAGTGCTTTAACCGTGTGGTGACAAGACAGTAAAAGCAGAGCATTTAGGAACTGGCCATTTTCAGTGGATTATAGATTATTTGTCTTCCAGTTCAAGCTCAGGTATGATAGCCTTCTCCTGAAAACCTCATGTGACTGAACAGGTCCATGGAGCGACATTAGCATTTTAATGAATGCATAATATTCACAGTAGAAGAAAGCCTACATTACCTGTTCCCATCTTTTTTAGCTTGTGATCTTGGTGTTAGTATGAAGTATACCTTTTTATTTTTGGAGATAAATTTAGCCAGTAAGAGAAAGCCAGTAAGAGAAAGTGGCAGTGTGACATTTACCACCATTTAGATTTTAGTGTAGACATTTTATTTGCCTAAAATTGAAGCATCTGTCTTTATGGAAAAATGAAGTGCTTTATTAAAATTAATCAGTATAATCCTATGAAATAAAGTTACTAAACATTGATGTTAAGCTGAGGGAATTAGACACAAATGCTCTGGAGGGCAGAAGCCTTACGAACAATGTGGTCCTCCACACCAAGCACAGCAGTTACTCCTAGTTTGTCTTACTTGGTTTCTTTTTTCTTTATGACTTCAGAAAGAAGCCCTAAACTCTTTTATCTCCTTATTTTGCATGTTACGACAAACTTGGCAGTTGTATCTAGTTTAGCTCTGTGGTTTCTTGTGATGTAACTCTCCATCCTTCGCCTCCTTCACAACTGGAAAAATGGCCCACTGCCTGAGGATCTCTCCTGCTCAGCTTCTTGAAGTCTGAGCAGGGCCAAAAAGTAATTCAGGGTTTACTCTTCAGGTTTACAACAGTCCTAGTTTCCTTGTCTGCTGTTGACATATGAGGAAAAGGAATCTACAATTTGTAGGTGATATATTTAGTATCTGTACATATCTGAGAGTATGTCAGGGTGTTTTGGTTTTGATTTTTTGTTGTTAGAAGAGAATGATTTTTAAGTTTCCCATTTTAGAAGTGAAACAGACTGGTGGGGTGGGGACACACCTGTAATTCCAGTGGTTCTGGAGGCTGCGGGAAGATCACAAGTTCAAAGCCAGCCTCATCAACTCCTCAAGGCCCTAAGTAGCTTAGCAAGATCCTGTCTCAAAATAAACAATTAAAAAGCATGACGGGGGGCGGGGTTGCTATGAATGTGGCTCAGTGGTTGAGCACCCCTGGGTTCAATCCCAGATATATATATAAAAAAGAAATAGCCAAGAGTTCCATAATATATTTCTAATTAAAAGATGCAGCCAGATTGGGGATACATGCCTATAATCCTAGTTACTCTGGAGACGGAGGCAGTTTAAGGCCCGCCTATGCAACTTAATGAAACCCTGTCTCAAAAAATAAATAAATAAATAAAAGGACTGTGTATGTAGCTAATAGTAGAGCCCTACTGGATTCAATCCCCAGGACCAACCACAAAAAAAAAAAAAAAAAAAAATTGAAAAGAAAAAAGAAAGAAATAGCATATTTATTTCCAACTCAATTTTTATTATTGTTGAAATAATAATAATTAGAAAAATTAGAAATGCACATATCTAGTGCTTATATATCATTTAATCTAACAATAACTGAAGAAGTTAATATATCACCTGGAGATAATTGATTTGTTCAATATTCCAAATCCTACTAAAGATGGTTCAAGAATTAGAACTCAAGACTAGCTGTGTAAGTTTGGGTCCAGTCAAGAGGCAAAAAATATGTAGTAATTTGAGCAAGAACAGTGTTTAACTATGACAGGGATTGAAGTAACTGTTATTAACTACTAAGGCATAAAAAAACTCTACAGAATTGAGAACGACAGGTATAGGTAGTAGCCACTCCAATTCTGTCTGAGGCAGAATACCTATGGGAAGAAGAAATTTCAAAGAAGGCCGCTGGCTCCCACACTGAACTTATGTCAGAGTGTTTTGGTTTTGGAGGAGGTGTAGCTTCGGCTCAGTAAATGGTGGAGAATCTTCTGAGGGGACATGCTAGTTGGTTTCATGAAAAGTCCCTTTCTAGGGTTCTTGAGAAAACTGTCCCTAGGGAGATCTCACACTATGGCACTCACGGGAAACCCCTTTATGGAAAGGCTCTGCACGTGGACCTCTCCAGGAAGCTCCCAGTGGTGGGAGAGGAAGGCTGTGCCCTGGGGGTGCCAGGGAAGCTGCCCTTCCTGGCTGGCCACTGTGCACCACAGGAACCTGCCAAAAGAAGCATCCAGAACCAAGAAGATCCCCTTCATTCTCTAGTTCACTTGACTGCCATTTGTGGTTGACACCTAAAATAATGCCACATGGCAGGTAAAAATGTTCTAGTCTCTCAAGTAAGGGAAGGTTGGATTTGGAGCTGTAAGATAATAGATTGATAGCTGACTCCATGCCAGTATCAGAAAATTGAAATCTGTTTTCTTTTTCTTTCTTTTTTTGGTATGAGGGGAAAGGGTGCCAGGGATTGGACTCAGGGGCACTCACCCACTGAGCCACACCCCCAGCTCTATTTTGTATTTTATTTAGAGACAGGGTCTCACTGAGTTGCTTAGCACTTCGCTTTTGCTGAGGCTGGCTTTGAACTTGAGATCCTCCCAAACCCCTGGGATTATAGGCATGTGCCACAGAACGAGGCTAGTAGGAATTTACTTTCTTAATCATTACACCATACTGTCTGTTACTTTACCAGAACATGTGACTTTTAACAAAATAAAGGCAAATAAGAGGAAAGGAAGGAAGGAATACATAGCAAGATTTTAAATGGAAGTTTGCATTATTAGCATATCTGTTGTCTTTGGCATGTTTCTTAGGTAGAGGCACTTTAATTGCTCAGAAGACTGACCCATTGAATTTTAAGGCACTGACTTGGCAACCAAAAATGGAAATTGCGAACTGGAGGTCCAAAGGCCATAGCCCAACTTTATTTTTCACTCTACAATTTAAATTAATTTTTAATTCCAGTTTTCACATCTAGTTAATGCAGGTCATGTTTAATTGACAAAGATTTGTTGGCAAATATCCTTAAATATCCATATCCTACCTGATGCATTTACAGAAAGATCTAGGCAAGTTAACTTCTCTGGGTCTCAGTTTCTTCACATAACAGAAACAATAATAATAGTACCTACTATATTGGTACATTATGATAATTAAAAGTGTTAATATTTTTATGCACTTAAAGAAGTAATCTTTGTATCTAATAAGTGCTATATAAATGTTTGTCAGATTAAAAAAATCAATTACAGCATATGCATTTTTATATTTTCTTAAAATCCATAGACTAAAATTATTAATTCTTCAAGTATTTCCAGTTTATGAAACTTTGTTTAGTTATAACAATTTTGTCAGATTAATCTGATTCCATTGTTTCATAGCAATTAAAAATATATCATTATGTTATAGAATGTACAATGTGAATGCTGTTCATTGGTTATTTTAATTTTTTTCTATAGTTTTAGCAAAGTGGTAGCACTTGAAGATGATATTAGTAAAGCCTTTACTCTTTAATTTTTGCAAAGAATTATATGAACAGTAAGATTTTTGGCAAAGTAACTTTGATGGCAGAAAATCTGTAGTTTCAATGTAACACTTAGTTTTCAAATCAGTAGCTTCTATTTGCATGTCCCAAACTAAACATGTTAGATATACTGTAAATATCTAAAACTTAAAAATTTCTGCTTTAATATTCTTTTTTTTTCCTTTTTTCTTCACAGATAAGTCACTAACACATCCTGAAGTGATCAAAAGGGCCCATGCAATTGAACTGTTATTTATGCTCTACCCTCCTAAAGGTGCCCATGTGGGCAACAAAGGCAGACTAAAGTCAACCTGGCTGAGACCCATAGTAAATGGAGAAGAAGGATATAAATATATAGGTAAGATCCGCACTTGTTGTTTGTATAATGAGGAAATGATGCTTTGTGCTTGCTTACCTCTTGTTTATCACTTGGATGAGATTGGGTGTTACATAGTAGGTTCCCTTTACTTCATAGGTATCATGTTTGCAATTTTAAAACTATCTGTTTTGTATTTTGGTGCCTTTGCAGAATTTTGGAAGCACAGTATATATACCCATTCACCTGTTGATGGACAGGGATTTTTTACTTTTGGATTACTATAGGTAAAGCTGCTATGAACCTTCAGGTTCAGGATTTTGTGTAGACATGTGCTTACGTTTCCCTTAGCTACCATGTTTTCCAAATTGATCATACCATTTCATGTTCCCCCATGTGCAGAGAGGAGTTACTTCTTTTCCACAGCTATATTAAGCCTTACATAATCAGTCTTTCTAATTTTAGGGGATATAATAGATATATTTGTTTGATATCCCATTGTGGTTTTAATTTGAATATCTCTAGTAAATAATGAGAGTTGGCATCTTTTGAAGTATTTGTTACTTATGTGTCTTCTTTGATGAAGGGTCTGTTCATAGCTGTTGGCTATTTTATAATATTTAGGATCGTTATTAAATTTAGAGAGTCCTTTAGATATTATGGGTACAAATCCTTCAGTACATATGTGCTTTGCAAATATGGTTTATCTTTTCTTTCTTTCAATAGTATTTTTTGAAGAGAAGTTTTAAATTTTGATGAATTTAAATTTATCCTGTATTTCTTTATGGTTTATATTTTTAGCTAAAAATATTTGGCCAGACTTGGGGTCACAAAGGTATTCTTCTAGAAATTTTGTAATTTTAAATTTTATATTTCAGTGTACAATTGGTTTTGAGTACATTTTTGTACATGATTCAAGTCTTAGATTGAAAATTTGTTTCTATATATTCATATCCAAATTTTCCAGTAGTATTTATTGAAAAGACTTTCCCCCTTTGAATTCACTGAACTTTGTAAAAACTAAATAGAACAAGAAGGTATGAGGTTGGCTAACAACTACATGAAAAGGTAATTAACATCATTAGTTACTAAGGAAATACACATCAAAATCATAGTGAGATAACATTACTTATCTATTAAGAAGGTTAAAATTAAACAAAACAAAACAAAAAAAAACTTTACATCTAACAATACCAGATTGGAAGGGTATGGAGATTATGTTGCTAGTGGGAATTCAAGATAGTACAACTTCCTTGGAAATTTTTTGGTACTTTTTAAATAAAATTAAAAAAATTTTAACCATAAAACTTAGCCATCCTACTCCTAAGTAATTACTCAAGATTAATGAATCATTTTTGTACACAAAAACCTACACATGAATGTACATAACTGAGTTATTAACTACCAAATGCTGGAAATAACACAAATGTTCTTCAGTGGGTGAATGGATAGACAAGATTTGTTCATCCATGCAAATGGAATGCAATAAGCAGTAAATTAGCTCTAAATAAAAGGGAGGCTAACTTCACTTAGCATTATCTTTTCCAATGCCATCCATTTACCTGCAAATGCCATGATTTTATTCTATTTTATTGCTGAGTAAAATTCCATTATGT